TAATATCCAGAGGCATTTAAAAAAGAAAAAAAAAATTAACAAAAGCCGTTCAACTATTGCAGTGGGTAGCTGGTGCTTGCAGTAAACCCCACACCCCAATCATTTGTTGTCCTTTTTTTTTTACTTCCTCATCCCATTCAAATGAAAGTAATTATAACTATTACGGTGTATTTATCAACCAAATGATGTCTTGGTTCCTTGAGGCAGCCATAGACCTATTCCCTTCCAGGGAACAATTTTCCTCGTTCAGCTGTTGAATAGATTTTTCCCATTTAGTCCTTGCAGTCCTGGAGGGCGGAGGAGGGCAGGTGCCTCACTGCCATTGGGGCTGGAAGCACGACCTTGGGTATGGTGCAAGGGCTGCAGGAGGTACTGAGCTGGGCTCCTGAGGAGCCCGTCCTGAGTTCTTGGTTGTGTAGAAGTTGCGTTGTATGGTGGGACAGGCTGTGCTGGCTGGTGTTCAACAGGAATTTCTGACACCAATAACAGCTGGTTTGTTTAAGATCTAAACACAATGATAGTGTCCAAAGAGTGTCTGCTAAAATAGACAAAAGACTGCTTTTTGACTTTTGAGGACAGGAGAGATCAGGCTTGCAGCTAGTCTGTGGAAGGATGAATTGCTATTCTGGAATTCTTTGAGTACGAGCTTTATGTTTGTGTTTTTGTCCTAACTTAAGACATTAGAGTCTCTGAGAAGTATTTGTATTTAAGTCACTGTGTTTGAATAACACCTACCAAAAACCTGTTCCCAAATGAACTTCCCCAGGCTATTTAATGAAGAACAGCAATGAACTCAGGTTATTTGATAAACAAATTCTGCTTTGGCTGCATGGACCAACTGTGTGGTAGAACTGGTTCAAACGAAAACCAGAGTTGCTTGCAGGAGCTCAGTTTTTACCTGCTCAGGGGCTATGCAGTAACCCAGGCCATGCATTCCTCAACAAAACCCAGGCCAGAGAAAATCCAGTGTCTTATGTGCCTCTCTCATCTGATAAGACCCAGTCTCTGCAGGGATACTCTGAATAATGCATCGATAGCTCATCTCAGAGGCCTGGTAAATCTAATGAAAATACTGTCTCCAGAAGACTTCAGGAATGCACCGTATGCTACTGCGTTACTAATGCTTTACACAATTTTCCAGGCTGGAGTATTCTGCTTGCTTTCATGCAACCACATTTATTATTTAAAAGATGAGTCTGGAAAATTTCCCAGATCTAATGTCTGCCCCATTACTTTCTGTCTTGGATACTGTGGATAATCAGATGAGCAGTAAATCTATGCTGTGGAATAGAATTACATTATCTTTTCTTTTTTTGTCAAACAACTTGTGAGTGATTTTTCTTTTCTTCACCCCTATGAAATACCTAATAGATCAAAAAACCTAAAATCTGTGTGCCAAATACGCAGTATTCCACATGTACCTCCAGTAACACATCTGCAGAAACACCAGTGGGGCTGCATTTATCTTGGGTAGACAGGGGAAATCGTATGAAATAATCCCCAGCACTGGTACTTCCAGTGTGGTGGGTGAAGTACTGAGGGGGTGTTTTGGCTTGTTGGTTGGACATTTGGGTGGTTGGTTTTTAGCCTGGTTTGATTGTGCTGTTTCGCCATCCTTTCTGGTTGTTTCTGAAGTCTTTCCCGAATTTCTCTGAAATGAGACGGCGTCTGAGGAGCTGGCGCTGGGTCCCCTGGCTCTTGGTAGCGGCGATGCCAAGAGGTGCTGAGGCTGCTGGGCAGCGGGTCGTGATGCACGGGGGATCGCGCCCACTGCCATGCCAAACCCTGCTGCATACCAGTGTTCCCAGTCATTCCCCAGTGATAGTGACACAGCCTTTGGAAAAGAGAAAACGTGAAGGAAACCCACCCCCAGGAATGACCAGCTTGATTCTGAGCCTCTGCACCAAGTGTGAATTACACCTCCTTCCTTGAAAACAGGAGACGCTTTTTTTTTCTTTTCTTCACGTGGTGATGAGAAACTAAAGGTCAGGAATGAGCCCCCTGAAGGCTCATGAAGAACAAAATACGATGTGTTTTAACTGACGTGAAAGGTTAATGGGAAAGATCAACATCCAATGGCTGCAGCTCAGGAAAGAGGGGTTGTTTGGGCAGAGCCCGCAGCAGAGCGTAAGCATTACGGTGAATGGGAAGCGTGAAACCGGGGGGGCAGCAAACACACAGCCCTTTAGCCCTGCTCAAAAATAATAGTGCGGGCTTTTTTTAACTTCAGAGTTTAGTCTGCTCTCAGTAAAAACAGGTTACATTTAAAAAACCTCTGCACCAGAAAAAGCAAACCTCTTTTTCCTGGTTTCTGCTTATAAGATTTACAGGTACTTAAAATAAACCTATGAAAAACAGACCCAGTGTGCTGGAATTTGCTAACTAGTGAGAGCAATTACCTCCAGGTCCCAAGACCTAACGGAGCTTGACTTTTTGGAAATAAGACTTGGCAAGCGCTTCTTCCTGCTGCTGCTGTAAAGGTGTACATGAAAAGACGTGCTGACCTCTGCCAGAAACCCCAGGAATCCAGTTCAGAGAGATATTCCTGCGAAGGGCACGGCTGGATTCAGGCAGCGCAGATGGGGATCGGTGTGGAAAAGGTGGCGAAACATTCGCTTCTCATTGTGTGGCTTCAGCGTGGCAGATTCTTTGCAATTGCCTGGCGTACCACAGTAATTAAATGGGTCAAGAGCAGTAAGTTTAGATACTTAACAAGAAAATAAAGACCTCGCTTGACAGCCAGCAGCGTGTCGTGCTTGTTTCACAGGAGTAAGGAGAATTAACGCAGGTTGCTGTAGTAAAAGTTGATATGAGACTTTTTGGCAATGATTTTGTATGTCTTCAGATCACATAGCAATTAACTCTAAATGCTGTAATAGCTGTAAATCAGGCTCTCTTATGAAACTAATGCCCCAATTTCAGATGACCTAAAAAAAGGGAAACTATAGACTCTTCCTTTCTCCTTCAGTGATATAAGAAAAGTAACAAAAGATAAGAAAAGTAATGAAAAACACACAACCGACCTTTGTTAATACAGGAGTGTAAAATAATCCCCTGCTTTCTCCAGACTGTTCCATGCATGAGTGGAAAATGAACTTTGCACGAGGAAATAAACATGATAGAAGTAAAATCTGAGATGGGAATTGATTTTTATAAGGCGCTCTGGTTTGGAGGGTGGAGGTAGTTTCACACTGAGGCTTTGAAGGAAATTATTTGTCGTTGTCAGTATCCTTTCATCATTGCTGGCTGGGGGAAGGAGCTCCTGCTTCCCACAGCAGTTGTAAAAGGCCTTTGGGAAGGATGAGATTTTCCTCCTAAAATGTTAAGGGACAAGTAACAAGAATGTTAAAAAAACCCCTAAAATCTGTTAAATGCATTCTCCCACTAACCAGGAGCTCTCTGCAGTCCATCTTCCCTTGCAAACTTAGAGATGAGACCAGCTTTGCTGCTGTGGTTTCAGTCGAAAGGGAATCTACGCACCATAAAAGGGTTTGTGCCGTGATGTCTGTGCCCGTGCTGATGGGAACCCCTGCTCAGAAGCGGAGACCAGGCTCCATCACAAGTTGGTACGAAGCAGCAGAGCTCGCCTGAACTCAGCTGCAGGAGGCAAATTCAAGCTCTCAGCCTCAGCATCTCACCAACGATCACTCAGAAATGTTGTTCGTGTCTGTGCGTTGTGGTTATTAGGTGCAAGAAATACAGTTTTAAAACTGTAATTAATCATTTCTAAGTAACCTCTTTTTCTGCACATTTATGGCATCAATGGGTATGACTGTTTATTATGTCTTACCTATAAAATCTGACCTGGTTTATATACTCTTTATGGAAACAGTGTACAGTCATAAATTAAAAGATGCAACTGTTTTGGATATTTTACTGGTGGTCCTGTATTTTCCTGCCAAAAGTGCAGCTGTTTTAGGTTTCTCGGGATAACATTATAAAAGGCTGTATGCGTTTTGCAAGTTTATGCTTGAATTGCCAAGCCAGAGGTGGAATGACTCAACCTTCCCAGGAGCAACATGTACCAAGTGATGAATCAAAACAGCTCGCTGAAGCTCGGTGGCTTACATGGCAACTGTGGAAAGCAGTTCTGATTTATGGCATTGTATCTGGTGTTCAAACTTCGAGGCGGTCATTGTGCTCATCGTGCCAGGCTATGGTCTGTCTTTGTGTTTTATGGGCTTTTGGTGCAAAGCTAGCAGAGAATCTGGTCTTGTACCTGCCTTACATGGGTGCCAGAACTCTGGGGTTACAGTACTGAATGAAACCATTCAAGCCCCCTGAGCAGACACCTTTACTGGGAGCTCTGGTGGGCACGCCTGGTTTGAGCCCTCAGAAGGAGCTAATGGGAGCCAAGAGCTCGTGGCAGTGCCAGCGTAGGCAGCGTGTTTCAGTGTTGACTCAGGGGTCTGGCTGGTTTGGTGTAAAATTAGATGGCTCTGCAATGGGTGATGATGCTTAATTAATGGTGAAGTTCAGGGGCTGCTTTAGCCAAAATGTTGGATGACGGCCTGCTACAGATCCAGTTCCCTGGTGTCAGTGGACTCACTCCAGATACAGTTAGGCCCAAGAGCTGAAGGTTCAGCCCTGTTGTCATCAGAACCACCGGCACAGTTGGCTCTTGGGAGTGCCCAGCATTAACCAGGCAGAGCTGAGACCCTCTGGTTCCTGTGGGAATCGACTACCAAAGGAGGAGGGGGCAAAAGCACCCCTAAACCTCAGAGTGAGCACAGAAAATACAACCCAGTGCGTGTACTTAACCTATGCACCTACTGCAAAGAGCCAAATTTTTTCTGTGTGCTGGCTGGGTACCTTGTCTGAAGGTGTATTGTTGTTGTAACAAACGGAAGTTTTATACCGATACCTTCATTGGTGGCTAGTAGTAGGCAGCTCCCTCTCCTTGCTTTCTCCCAAAAAGTAGCCTTGACCTCACTGTACCATGAACTACGCAGGAGTTTGTGTTTATTTCTGCTCTAAAATAACGCCTCTCTTTGTTTTAGGTATCTCAACCATGTACGAGCTGCCTCTCTGCAGGATCTTGCTGGGGGCTACACTTCTTCTCTTGCCTGTCACCGAGCCTTACAGGATGCTTTCAGTGGTCTGTTCTGGCACCCTAGTTAGCCAGCGTGCAGCAGCCTCTGATCAGGGGACACTGAACGGAGCGAGGAGCAAATCGAGCCAGCAAAGGTTGGGTAAAATTGCTGCCATCTGCACAATGGCTAAGCTGCAGTCACTTCTCTGTGTAAAACCAGCTGTGCTTAAGTGTTAAAGGGGAAAAAAAAAAAACCAAAACCCATCTGCACGAGAGCTTTGTAAAATGGTAGAAACATTTTTGTGGAGGGGGAAACTCGTTAGTCATGTGGCACTTTGCTGAGGGAGGCTGAAGCAATAAGCCACATCTAATGGAAGATGTGAATAACTCAGCTGTGTATGTTTGAGGTTTAAAGAAATATACTTGTAAATTTTTTTTAAAATAAAGCCAGACTTTTTTATTAAAGTTTGTGGTTTTACTCTTATTGCAGGGTTTTATTTGCACAAGCATTTAAATGCCATTTTGATTATAACATTTAGTGTCAATATTCAAGCCTACATTTTCTTCCCATAAAACTAGTTTCCCCAGTTTAGACAAGTGGGTTTTTCCTCCTGCCAGCTGGATGAGATGAGACACCCTGGAACTATGCTGACACAACTCTTATGCAGGATCTTTCCTGATGTCACTTGGTTCTTACCTTTGTCTGGAAAACGAATCTTCAGCTGAAAGTCTTTCAACTGAGTTCTTCTAGAATCAATCTAAGAAGCCTTGGTACAAGGCTGGATCACTAAAGCAGTCAAAATTGGTTTTGTTTTTCCTGTTTAGCTCTGTTTGCAACTTTTCTGTGATGGGTTCAGGAGCTTCTTGGCAGGAATATCCCCTTGGCTTTCGGGATGACCCTTGCCACTTGATCTGCTGCTTTTACGTTATCACTTCCCGTCTCCTTGTATTGGAACGGAGACTAACTGCAGCAGCGATGGGTTTCCAGTGGAAGGGTTGCTCTTTGCCACAGGTGTGTGTAAACTGCAGGAGACTGGAAACTGCGCGGGACAGGAGCATCTCTGGAGTAATGCCTGGACCATGTTTTCTGGGTCATCTGTTAATAGTTGTTGAAAACTGCTCTGAGGAGTGTAATAAATGAACGTATTTTTTCTACGTTGTAATAAAGAGAAGAATAAGATCTATTGCAGACTTGCTGCTTCCTTTATTAAGGAGAGGGAGATGCCAGAATTTCCATTGCCCTTTCTTTGGAATCCTCTTGTTTGTGCCCAGAATAGTTGCCGACAGGTAACGTTACACCCAAGGCAGAGGCGTAGAAAAGTCATAGCCTGTGGCGTGCTGCTCCCTGCCAGGGGCAGGTGGCCTGGCTTGGACAGAAAGCCTGTGTCTGGCTGCCGTGGGACTCAGCTGTGCAGCACACGTGAGAGACCACTCATATGCTTATGCTTGTGTGCAGTCTCGCCCTGAGACGAGTGCTTGCTTTCTGCCTGCAGCTCTTCGTCCTTTCCTCCCAGCTGTAAGGCCTGAAAGTTGACAAGCCCTTTATTTATCCACTCCCTCACTTGTGGTAGATGGCTGCCACCACTGCTGGGCCTGGCTGATTGTTCTCCTAGCAGCCAGAAGCCGTGGGGGTTTGTTCCCTCTATCACAGATACCTGACAGCCTGTCTCCTCGTCCCAGATACAAGATAGCAGCAGTGCTGCTGGGATTCCCCTCGGGACCCTGGGAGGGAGCAGCAACAGCACCCGGGGGTGTAGTCTAGTATTCTGGGCTCACCCAGACTGGTGAAGATACACCTCTCCCCTGATCTGCTTTATATTCCTTTTATAAAGCCTCAGGTCATTGCCCCCATGACTGCAGAACCGTTTATGCATATTAATATGCATCGTTTAAATACACTCATGCCACTTGTGTGTCCACTGGCTATCATTTGCCATTTCATGTCGAAGAGTTACAAGCAAAAGTGGCAACTGCACAGAAATATGGAAAACCCCTTATTACGAACAGAGCTACATCTAAACTAAAATTACGCTGCTAAAATAACAATGGCATTTAATCCTTAAGCGAACTTAAGAATTAAATCCTTCCCTGCCCTGGAATACTTTAGTCACATGCTGAAAATCAGTTACGTAGTTGACTTGCTTAACACAGAAATGGTGATCACAGCCAGCTTTCTGCGGGTGCAGTAATGCCAAGAAGCCCTAAATTTGGGCTCTGAGGCAACGCACACAGTCAGAGGGAGCTGAAGCCTCTGGCAGCACAGATGGGTGCATCAGCATAGATCGTAGGTGACTGCATCATTCTGAATGGTCGAGGGCCTTATTGCACTGGGCTCTGAAGAACAAGAGAGCTTTCAAACGTTTATGAGAACCCTAGAGGGCAGCGGTAGGAAAGCACACAGCAGTGTTAGAAAATGTAACAGACAGCAGAGATAGCATCGAGGCTGGAGACAAGAGTCCAGCGCTTGCTCTGAGAGGAGCAATGACTGGTGGGGAGGATATGATGTGCCTGCTGGTGACAGCGAGGACAGAGTTTAAAGCTGCCGCAATGCCATTCTGAAGGCCAGTGGAGGAATGCTGGGCCTGGAGCAGCAGGCCGGGGAAGTCATCTGTACAGCAGCTTTCAAGATAGTACCAGTGAGTCATGATGATTTTTTTCCCCCGTTTGATAAATGCGGTCCAGCAGTAACCAAGCTGTGAAGGCTTGCAAAAGCACTGTCTGTGTCGCCAAGAGAAAGGCTGTGACACACAGCCACTGAGCAAACCCAATCTGTGGGCCTTAGTGGGTTCTGGGGAGACCCGAGACAACAGGTTACAGGCCCCAGGGATGGTGCCACAGCAGCAAAGCCAGGGAGGGTGACGGACAGCTGGTCACGGAGTTGCTAGGCATGAGCTCTGCTTGGACTGAAGGAAATATCTGAAACAGAAAGGGGGATCCAAGTTCTCTATCCAAATAAACTATTTGTGGTTTGACATTGCCCAACCATAGTTTGGATGGGTAAGAAAAGGAAATCAAAGGCAGAGGCTTTTCGAATCCCTGCAGCATACAGGGATCAGCCAGGGACTGCAGCAGGGGAGCAGGCGGGAGGCAGGGGAGAGCTGGGAGACACAAAAGTCACAAGAGAATGTGGTTTCAAGATGAGAGGACTGTTCAGGCAGCTTCAACGCAAACGTGTACTTCATCTGCAACTGTGCAAATGGCATTAGTCTTTCCTGCTTTAACGGTAGGGAAACACTGAGTTAGTAGTCAACTAATCCCTAATGAAGTCGCAGTGTGAAAAAGCATTTATTACTCAAAAGCCCAGGAACAAGTATATATGGCTGTCTGGGCCTTTGGGTTAGGTTTTTGAAAAGTTATCTTGCACAAACAGCTCTGGTGTAAGCATCTGCTAACAGTAACCCAGTATTCTTAAAACACCAAAACCATTTGCCAGAGAGAATCCAATGCAAGAGTTCTACGAGTCATCTTCAAAGACCAAGCAAAATATAAAAATCTGGTTTTATCACAAACTGCACATTATCAAAATAACTCAGCAGAAAACTATCCCAGTCTATGTCACTGAATTACCACAGGGTGTGAAATAATAGAGAGCAGAAAAGTACCAAAATACATTAATTACAAAAAAAGCGAAGTTTTATTTTTTTGTAGTAACATCATCTTCAATCTGCTTATTGATCCCACAACTGAAAAAAAAAAAAAAAAAAAGGTAAATGCAGGAAGCAAGGCTCACAAAGGAAAGCTCCAACATGCATTACGCATCTTGGCCCCTGAGATGGGTAGCACAGGTACACTTCAAATAATTCAGGGGGTAAACCAGAGGTAACCTAGGTATACCTTACACAAACTACTAAGGTAGTTACCATAACTCCAGTCTTCAACTCTTCTCCAACTCCAACTTTTCTTCAGAAAAATCTTTGCTGGTACACAGACGTTTAGCAGCTGGTTTTGCTGGAAGAAGGTTAGAAAAACGAAGTTATTTAACATGCAGCAAACAAACTGAACTAAACCATGAGCCATGTAACACTTAAGGGATTTAACAGGAAGAGATGAGGGTCAAAATCAGGCTTAACAGTCACCAATGAAAACTGTTACAGCAATAATGGGGGGTCTTTAATAAATGCCAAAAAAGACTTTCAAAAAACCTGTATTTAGCTACATTTTGACCTACATCTCAGTGCTACCCAACAATAGTGTACACACAGTTTCATGGCATTAAAGCTTTATCAAAACCTACTTTCTTCCCGTTCATGTAACTGCAGACTGCAAGCCTCCCTCCCCCTCCTGCCATGGCAGGTAGTGCAAAGCCCAAGAACACTGAAACCAACTAACTTCTACAAGTACTTCAAGAAACAAATGACCAATTATTTAAAAAAAAAAATCAAATTCAACACTAAAGATCTCTAAGGATATCTATTTCTCAATTAAATTGTACAGAACCTGATTCTGCTGATGTAGTGACTCCAGACTAAACTGAGTCCGTGCAAGCATAAGGGAGAAGGTCAGAACTGGGACCAGTCAGTTGGAAGTACGCCGTTCCACCCTGGGTGAAAATGAGGTTCCAGTTCTTAACTATTTCTAAGGCGTAAAGGTCTGCCTAATGGCCTGTGGGATGATCCTCTCCAGTCCACCATTTTTTCAGTGGAGGCTCACGCTGGGATCAGAGGAGCGGACTGCTGTTACGAAGAGTGCACGAAGCCCTGCAGCTGCTGCACACGTGCAGGCGCTCAGTCCTGCCGGCCACCGCCGCGCTCACACCGGAGTCAGCATTGCTGTCACGTGGCTGAAGCGTCCCACAAGGCTGACAAGGTGGGACCAGCCTGAGACAGCAAAAGGTGGAGCCTGAAATCCAAGTGCCACGCAGGAGGCTTGTTCCTTACCTTCATCAGGGCAGGGCCTCTTGTACAGCACATCTGCCGGAATCTGGAAACTGAGGCACAGCATCTCTTTGTTCGGTGCAACATTTCTGACCAGGTAAGTGGAACAGCGTCCGGCTAACGAGGTTCCCAGCGAAGCCTCAGCTCGTTCTTGAATATCTTTGGCTGGGTCATCATGTTTGGAGAAACCATAGCAGTGCACTGTGGGAAGGGCA